AATCAACAAGCCCAGACATATTTCTCACTGTGCCCAGAGCCTGAAGAAGACCCACAGCGGTCGAAACGTTGCGCAACTGGGCACTTTTCCCCACACCTTTTCTTTAATTATTCATTTTAATAGACATTTTATTTTGTTATTTTACTTTGATTTCATTTTATTTCATTTTTATTTAAAAAAAAAAAAGAACATTTCATTTATTTTGTTATTTTCATATACAGCTTTTGTTTTGAATACCTTGATTTGAAAATACAAGTATTTAAAGAATATCAATGTGAAATGTGCTGTATGAATGGGTGGAAATAATTTATCCAGATTTATCGGCTAAATATCTGCTCATAGCTTAAAATGCTTTTTTTAAGGCATAATAAGCCATATATATGTATATATATAAATATGTATATATATATGGTTCATAACTTAATTAATATATTATAATATTATAATTATAATTACAGTATAATATACATATTTAGGTATATGATACTGTAATTATAATTATAGTTGTGGCTAAACTGCTAATGCTACTCGTACCGTCAGCAGTGACAGGCTGTACAGACTCTGCTCGCTGCTTCCCGCATAATCACTCGGGAAGAACAGATTTGTTATGTTGCCGGTTTATCGGCTTAATTGGTCAACGTCACTTTGGAGAGACTTTGAATAACTTCTCAACTATAACATCTTCTGAGGATGACTCAAAGTCACTGCTCACATCTATTTTGCTGCCCTCAGCTCCGCGTTTAGCTCCATGTTTGGTCATTCTGTTTACTTCTCCTGTTTACTTCTCCGGTAACTTGCAGAAGCAGTGACCAGGAAAAGCTCGACTCTGATTGGCTGTTGTGACGCACACTTCTGCCATCTTTGATCGAGTAAATATGCTCACAGCGGATCACCATGATCGAACTGAAATTTATCACAATCATTGATCATGATCACGATCATATAATCGCCCAGTCCTAATTTCTACCTACATTTTTTAATGTCAAAAATAAAGTATTTGCCAAGTAGACACTCTATACATCTGTTGAGTCTTAATTGTTGCCTGACACTGTTAAGTCCTGAAAGTGGGATTAAAGTCAGATGAAGAGGATTATGATAGTTGAGACAAACCTATTGAAGATCTGTTCTATCTAACTGTTCATCTGTTTGGGGGGTCACAGTGGTGTACCTGTGACAGGGGTAGTAGTCTGGAGCATTAGTTGCTGCTTGAAATTACATGATTGACATCAGTCATTTTGCAGTTAGACCAGTGCGCATGCAGACAACATGGTTGTGATTGTAAAGTGCTATCTTGCTTGGCCCTAGAACACAGGAACATGGATGTAAGACTGATTGTGTTCCTTGTCAACACAAGGAACACAATCAGTCTTACATCCATGTTGCTCACTCACTCAGGATGATAATAATTGTCAGAAAATAGGTGCCACTTCTTCCACCTCTGAATCCAAATGTAAAAAAGGTTTGCTGTACACTGCTCAGAATCAAGTCACACACCCTAAATTTAACCTTTAGCGTGAGTGTTTCAACTAACTGAATTCATTTGCATGAATGGTCTATCATAGGTGATGTAGCTGGTTACTGAAAATCCTATAATTTAAATCAGTGTAGATGATATTGGTTAAGTATCAAGGCAATAACGTTTAGTTTTTATCTCTGATGATCGTGCATTTTTTAAAGTTTATCCCTTATGTAACGGTGTGGCTAAAAAAGCCACTTGGGGCAAAATTTAGCCACTAATTTCCATGTAACTTTTTTTTACTGCAGCAAATGGGATGATTTTTTGGGCAGATGCCTATATTGATGGACACTTTGAAAATATGACTTCAAAACTTTCACCAGGTCAAAAATACGGGCTGGGCAAATTTGCTATCCTTTGTTTACGCTCAGTGGCTAAAAAAAGCCACTAACTTTGACTGCTGTAAAAACATATTGGGTTAATATTTTTCCATTTTTTTCATATATCTCTTAAGTAACTTCTGCTTTGATCAGAACTAGTAAATGTTTCATGTAAAATCATTTTAACCCTTTGAGGGTCCGTTCAAAGCATAATGTCACTGATATGGTAGAAAAATAAACAAAAATGACCTATTTTCATCATAAAACATAATCAGAAACAGGTGATTTTTTTACATGTTGCATAGTCTTGGCCTTGTGAAGGATTAGGAACCTCAGAAACTATGATACATTTTGTGTAGTGTCTAATTTTCATAGAAACTTTCACAAAACACTCATAAAAACACTTGCACTATTCATGTCTTTTCTATACTCGCATTCTCTTTCAGTACCAGCTTGGTCGTAATGTGCTGAGCCAGAACTCAGCTTTGTGTGTGTGTGTGTGTGTGTGTGTGTGTGTGTGTGTGTGTGTGTGTGTGTGTGTGTGTGTGTGTGTGTGTGTGTGTGTGTGTGTGTGTGTGTGTGTTCAGTGTTTGAAGCAAGACCTGCAGGAGATCACGCTGTGTTCATGCCAGATGTGTTTCACACATAACTCACAGGTTTTGTTAGTTCTTTTTGACACCAAAGCCGTTCCCAGGTCCTCCACGCCTCCTCCTGAATCACTTTCTCAGGTTCCAGGAGAGATCCACATCTCACAGCGAGGCAGTAGATTCACCCCTCGAACAAAACAGGCCAGACAATGATGATGGATCCTGTGGGGGGTCAGATTCCATCCCATCAGAATCAAAGACCATTGCAAGGGCCTCTGTGGTGCTGAAGCTTCTCTTCATGCTTTCTCTTGCTCTTCTCATGAAAAAATGGTCATTAGAATCTGCAAGTTGTGGATTGCAGGACAGCTCACTTTTGTTTTTGTTTATTTTTTTCCACCTCTCTGTACTTCTGAGAGCTGAAGAACATAGTTAACTTTTGTGGCGGGGTCAGTGCTGGGTCATGACCTGCAGGCTCCTCCCCTCTCTCTCTCACATGCACACACTCACATGCATGCATGCACACACGCACGCAAACAGACATTTTTTGGGGCTTCCGATTTTGTCTGGCCTGTTTGGAAACACATCTGGCATGACCACAGAGAGATCTCCTGCCGGTGTTGCTTCAAACATTTCACTCACTCACTCACTCACTCACTCACTCACTCACTCACTCACTCACTCACTCACTCACTCACTCACTCACTCACTCACTCACTCACTCACTCACTCACTCACTCACTCACTCACTCACTCACTCACTCACTCACTCACTCACTCACTCACTCACTCACTCACTCACTCACTCACTCACTCACTCACTCACTCACTCACTCACTCACTCACTCACTCACTCACTCACACTTTTACATTTTATCTCTCTTTGCTCACTCAATTTCTCACACATTCGCTCTCTTAGGCTCCCCAGGTTTCTTTCAGTCCTCTCCACCGCTTCACCCTCAAAAGTTAGTCGTTTGTTCTGGTTTGATACTCTGTTGTTGTGTATTTGTGGCTTTTGTTTTATTGCATTTTGAGCAATAAAATATGGTTTGGTTCTAATGTTAACAATGGTTACATTTTTTTCATTTTTTCCTAATATTAGTGGGTGTATGTTTTAAATTGGCCCTTAAAGGGTTAAAATTTTGATTTTTAATGACACATTTACTAGTTTTGAATGCAGCAGAAGTTAATTAAGAGATGTGTGAAAAAAATCTAGAAAAAATATGAATCCAATATGTTTTTACAGCGGTTAATGTCAGTGATTTTTTTTAGCCACTGAGCATTAACAACTGATCTAAATCTAACGGTTTCACAAGGGTTATGTATGCCGTCAAACAAAATATAATATTGTTGGCTAATGCTTTTTATTAATCAACATGTCTGAGATCAATTTTTAAATTGATTGTATCTGTGTAATTGAGTTTGTAATTAATCAGTCATATCCATGATTGACCTTTTATATTTATTCTCAGGTGCTGAGGTGAAAACAGGCTGTGAACTAGCAAAGCCCAAGGTCATGAAGACATCTTTGGGCTCTTGAAATCAAGAGGTACACTACAATTTAGCATAAAATGTGTACAAATACACACAAGATCAACTATGCATATCCTTGGTCTTAAAACCTTGATCTTTAAAAAATTGAGATAGTTCTATATTTAATAGGCCTTGGTGTCTCAGCACATACAGGATATTTTTGTCACAGCAGCCCAGCTTTCCTTTGTTGTCTTGTGTAATAAAAGAAAAAGGGGAATAGATGTTCAATTTGGTTCACCATTGTAGTTAAAACTATATTTTCTGTTGTTTGCAGGCCCAGCGCTGTCTGCGTCGTCAAGCTAAAAGACCATCACAATGTCTGTGAACGGCGATTTGAGAAGGCACAGGCTGAAAAGATGCAAACGGGGAGGCAGAGCACATTCGGTCCTGAAGGCTTGAACGAACTGGTAAGTTTGAAAAGGGGGTGTGTGATATTTTTTCATTTAATTGTCAGATCATAAGCTTGATTTTATAATGTTTTTTTAAATAGAAAATTTTTTTTTAGTTATCCAAAATTAGTAAATGTAAAAATAACTCAGAATAGGATCCGATTATTAGATCAATGGTTATGTGGCATATCTTGACTGTGTATCTATATATACATATCTTTAAATTTACTGTAGCATCCTGGTTGATTTATGGTCTGACTCTCCAACTGATGTTTCACAAAGTTTTATTTTTAAATGGTTCCTTTAAACTTCCATCTTTGAACTTCCATTAAAGAGTGTGAACACACCGTAAGAGCTAGCAAAAAACAATAGGAACAATATTAATACACTTTCTGTAACAGAACATCCTTTGATTTAAATTATATATTTTATACACCTTCAAGAACAATGAAATCAACTTTCTTGTATTAGCTGTGTCATCTGTGTTAACTGTAACCATCATCGTAACTGTAGCATCTTTACTAGTACTCGGCAACACGAAACTCGATCAAATTTCATAAAAACTTTTAAAAAGCCACTTCATATTAATTTGTGTGAGAAAAGAAGCATATGTTGTGCCTCTATCAACCAGGTACTTTAAACAACTTAAGAGATCCTTATTGACGATTGTGATCCTGACTTTTCATATCTTTTACTGTTCATTGACTTCTAACTTCCGGTGAAAATTCTTTCAAAATAAGGGGATCGGTCTCTGTTATATTACTCACAGGAAATAAAATAATAGCAAATAGGGATTTTAACTTCAAAATAAGGCTGCTGATACAAACACATAATGTGGGTCATTTACATTTAGAATAGCATGAAAAAGTTTAATACTTTTTGTCACTTATTTCAGAAAATGAAACCTAGTCCCTTTTCTCTTTTTTGCTTTCCATGACCCAGGTTCGCTGTACACTGCTCAGAATCAAGTCACACACCCTAAATTTAACCTTTAGCGTGAGTGTTTCAACTAACTGAATTCATTTGCATGAAAGGTCTATCATTGGTGATGTAGCTGGTTACTGAAAATCCTATCATTAAAATCAGTGTAGATGATATTGGTAAAGATGAGTAAGTATCAAGGCAATAACGTTTAGTTTTTATCTCTGATGATCGTGCATTTTTTAAAGTTTATCCCTAATGTAACGGTGTGGCTAAAAAAAGCCACTTGGGGCAAGATTTAGACTTAAAAACAGGCAACTGGACTGTGTAGAGTTGAGAAGGCGTTTTGCCTCTTATCCAAGAAGCTTCTTCAGTTCTAAAATTGCTAGTGTGAGGAGCAGATATTTATCTTACTGGAGAAGGGAACAGACAACGACTGGGAGGAGTTGGAAAGAATGGGTCGTAGAAACCCATATCTGGGTGTCTCTCTTTCCACCTTGCTTACCAACCTTGCTTACCTAACCTTTCAGGTTTGGTAAGCACACACACACATGTTCACTCACACACACACACACACACACACACACACACACACACACACACACACACACACACACACACACACACACACACACACACACACACACCACCTTCTACTTTTGTTGATGTATTTTGAGCAATAAAATATGGTTGTGTTCCAATCTTATATTGTTTGTTACACACACACTCACACATACACGCACACACATGTACGCACGTGCACGCAAATGCACGCATGTGCACACAAACACACACTGAATTCTGTCTCACACATGACTACCACCTGCAGTCAGTGAAAGAGAATGCTCTGATGTTAGTATAGGGAATGCACTTATAAAACCAATTAATCAATGCAGTTTTTATGAAAATCTGTGACACAAAAATGTAGCAAACATTCTGATGTTTCTAATCCTCCACATGCCCAAGCCTATGCACCTTGTAAAAAATCACCAGCTTCGGATTATGTTTTATTAAAAAAATAGGTCATTTTCCTTCCTTTTTTTTTTGCTTGATAAGTGAGTTTAGGTCTCAAATGGGCCCTTATAGGGTTAAAATTTTTATTTTCAATGAAACATTTGCTAGTTTTGAACAGGGCAGAAGTAAAATAAGAGATGTATGAAAAAAATCAGAAAAAAATATTAATCCAATATACTTTACAGCAGACAAAGTAGTTTTGGCCACTGAGGGGCGCCAAAGGGAGTTTTTTATTAAACCTGATGCTACAGAAAAACTAAAAAGGGAATAAAGTCAATGATATTACTAATCTTTTACATATTCAAGACTTTGATTACCTGCGGGTGATCACCAGTTTCTGATGATGTTTCTTGATGTTTATGTCTGATTAAGTATTGGCACTAAAGGGACAGAATTTGTCCTGGCTTTAGTATTGACCCGGTGAAAATTTTGACTTCATGTTTTCAAAGAGTATGTCAAATTGAGCATAAAAAAAACTCACCAATACAAACTACGATCATAACAACAAGCCAAACTCTTTAAAAGAACACTTAAAATACAATTTAGCACAAGGGGGAGCAAATTCAACACATAAGAGCCATAAACCATGGCGCACAAACCTTCAAACTCGCCAGTACAAACAACGATCATAACAAAGAGCCAACACATCAAAAGAACACTTAAACAACAGCTAAACACAGGGGGTAAAAAAACTCAACAGATGCATGCCATAAAACATGCTCACAAACCTTCAAACTCACCAAAACAAACAATGATCATAACAAGAAGCCAAACTCTTTAAAAGAACACTACAACAACAGCTAAACACAACACATACATGCCATAACACACGCTCAAAAACCTTCAAACTCCCCAAAACAAACAATGATCCTAACAACAAGCCAAACTCTTTAAAAGAACACTTAAAATACAATTTAGCACAAGGGGTAGCAAATTCAACACATAGGAGCCATAACACATGCGCACAAACCTTCAAACTCGCCAAAACAAACAATGATCATAACAAAAAGCCAAACTCATCAAAAGAAGACTTAAACAACAGCTTAACACAAGTGGTAGCCAATTCAACACATACATGCCATTACACATGCTCAAAAGCCTTCAAACTCGCCAGAACAAACAATGTTCATAACAACAAGCCAAATTCATCAAAAGAACACTAAAGTAACAGCTGAACACAAGGGTTAACTAATTCAACACATACATGCCATTACACATGCTCAAAAGCCTTCAAACTCGCCAAAACAAACAATGTTCATAACAACAAGCCAAACTCTTTAAAAGAACACTTAAAATACATCTTAACACAAAGTATTACTAATTCAACACATTCATGCCATTACACATGCTAGAAAACCTTCAAACTCGCCAAAACAAACAATGTTCATAACAAACAGCCAAACTCTTTGAAAGAACTCTAAAGCAACAGCTTAACACAAGGGTTAACTAATTCAACACATACGTGCCATTACACATGCTCAAAAGCCTTCAAACTCGCCAAAACAAACAATATTCATAACAACAAGCCAAACACTTTTAAAGAAAACTTAAAATACATCTTAACACAAGGGATTACTAATTCAACACATTAATGCCATTACACATGCTCAAAAACCTTCAAACTCGCAAAACAAACAATGTTCCTAACAACAAGCCAAACTCATCAAAGGAACACTAAAACAACAGCTTAACACATTCATGCCATTACACATGCTCAAAAACCTTCAAACTCGCAAAAACATACGATGATCATCACAAGCCAAACTCATCAAAATGACACAAAAACAACAGCTTAACACATTCATGCCATTACACATGCTCAAAAAACTTCAAACTCGCCAAAACAAACACTGTTCATAACAACAAGCCAAACTCTTCAAAAGAACACTAAAACAACAGATTCACGCATTCATGCCATTACACATGCTCAAACACCTTCAAACTCGCCAAAACGAACAATGTTCATAACAACAAGCCAAACTCATCATAAGAACACTAAAACAACAGCTTCACACATTCATGCCATTACACATGCTCAAAAACCTTCAAACTCGCCAAAACAAACAATGCTCATAACAACAAGCCAAACTCATCAAAAGAACACTAAAACAACAGCTTAACACAAGGGATTACTAATTCAACACATTCATGCCATAACACATACTCAAAAACCTTCAAACTCGCAAAAACAAACACTGTTCATAACAACAAGCCAAACTCATCAAAAGAACACTAAAACAACAGCTTCACACTTTCATGCCATTACACATGCTCAAAAACCTTCAAAGTCGCCAAAACAAACAATGCTCATGACAACAAGCCAAATCATCATAAGAACACTAAAACAACAGCTTCAAACATTCATGCCATTACACATGCTCAAAAACCTTCAAATTCGCCAAAACGAACAATGTTCATAACAAGCCAAACTCATCAAAAGAACACTAAAACAACAGTTTAACACAAACATGCCATTAAACATGCTCAAAAACCTTCAAACTCGCCAGAACGAACAATGTTCATAACAACAAGCCAAACTCATCAAAAGAACACTAAAACAACAGCTTAACACAAGGGATTACTAATTCAACACATTCATGCCATTACACATGCTCAAAAACGTTCAAACTCGCTAAAACGAACAATGTTCATAACAACAAGCCAAACTCATCAAAAGAACACTAAAACAACAGCTTAACACATTCATGCCATTACACATGCTCAAAAACCTTAAAACTCGCTAAAACGAACAATGTTCATAACAACAAGCCAAACTCATCAAAAGAACACTAAAACAACAGCTTAACACATTCATGCCATTACACATGCTCAAAAGCTTTCAAACTCGCCAAAACAAACAATATTAATAACAACAAGCCAAACACTTTAAAAGAACACTTTAAATACATCTTAACACAAGGGATTACTAATTCAACACATTCATGCCATTACACATGCTCAAAAACCTTCAAACTCCCCAAAACAAACAATGTTCATAACAACAAGCCAAACTCATCAAAGGAACACTAAAACAACAGCTTAACACATTCATGCCATTACACATGCTCAAAAAACTTCAAACTCGCCAAAACAAACAATGTTTATAACAACAAGCCAAACTCTTCAAAAGAACACTAAAACAACAGATTCACGCATTCATGCCATTACACATGCTCAAACGCCTTCAAACTCGCCAAAACGAACAATGTTCATAACAACAAGCCAAACTCCTCATAAGAACACTAAAACAACAGCTTCACACATTCATTCCATTACACATGCTCAAAAACCTTCAAACTCGCAAAAACATACGATGATCATCACAAGCCAAACTCATCAAAAGAACACTAAAACAACAGCTTAACGCATTCATGCCATTACACATGCTAAGAAACCTTCAAACTGGCCAAAACGAACAATGTTCATAACAACAAGCCAAACTCATCAAAAGAACACTAAAACAACAGCTTAACGCATTCATGCCATTACACATGCTCAAAAACGTTCAAACTCGCCAAAACAAACACTTTGCATAACAACAAGCCAAACTCATCAAAAGAACACTAAAACAACAGCTTCACACATTCATGCCATTACACATGCTAAAAAACCTTCAAACTCGCCAAAACAAACAATGCTCATAACAACAAGCCAAACTCATCAAAAGAACACTAAAACAACAGCTTCACACTTTTATGCCATTACACATGCTCAAAAAACTTCAAACTCGCCAAAACAAACAATGTTCATAACAACAAGCCAAACTCATCAAAGGAACACTAAAACAACAGCTTAACACATTCATGCCATTACACATGCTAAAAAATCTTCAAACTCGCAAAAACATACGATGATCATCACAAGCCAAACTCATCAAAAGCACACTAAAACAACAGCTTCAAACATTCATGCCATTACACATGCTCAAAAACCTTCAAACTCGCCAAAACGAACAATGTTCATAACAACAAGCCAAACTCATCAAAAGAACACTAAAACAACAGTTTAACACAAACATGCCATTAAACATGCTCAAAAAACTTCAAACTCGCCAAAACAAACAATGTTCATGACAACAAGCCAAACTCATCAAAGGAACACTAAAACAACAGCTTAACACATTCATGCCATTACACATGCTAAAAAATCTTCAAACTCGCAAAAACATACGATGATCATCACAAGCCAAACTCATCAAAAGCACACTAAAACAACAGCTTCAAACATTCATGCCATTACACATGCTCAAAAACCTTCAAACTCGCCAAAATGAACAATGTTCATAACAACAAGCCAAACTCATCAAAAGAACACTAAAACAACAGTTTAACACAAACATGCCATTAAACATGCTCAAAAACCTTCAAACTCGCCAAAACGAACAATGTTTATAACAACAAGCCAAACTCATCAAAAGAACACTAAAACAACAGCTTAACACAAGGGATTACTAATTCAACACATTCATGCCATTACACATGCTCAAAAACCTTCAAACTCGCCAAAACGAACAATGTTCATAACAACAAGCCAAACTCATCAAAAGAACACTAAAACAACAGCTTAACACAAGGGATTACTAATTCAACACATTCATGCCATTACACATGCTCAAAAACCTTCAAACTCGCCAAAACGAACAATGTTCATAACAACAAGCCAAACTCATCAAAAGAACACTAAAACAACAGCTTAACACATTCATGCCATTACACATGCTCAAAAACCTTAAAACTCGCTAAAACGAACAATGTTCATAACAACAAGCCAAACTCATCAAAAGAACACTAAAACTACAGCTTAACACATTCATGCCATTACTCATGCTCAAAAACCTTCAAACTCGGCAAAACAAACAATGTTCATAACAAACAGCCAAACTCTTTAAAAGAACACTTAAGCAACAGCTTAACACAAGGGTTAAGTAATTCAACACATACGTGCCATTACACATGCTCAAAAGCCTTCAAACTCGCCAAAACAAACAATATTCATAACAACAAGCCAAACACTTTAAAAGAACACTTAAAATACATCTTAACACAAGGGATTACTAATTCAACACATTCATGCCATTACACATGCTCAAAAGCCTTCAAACTCCCCAAAACAAACAATGTTCATAACAACAAGCCAAACTCATCAAAGGAACACTAAAACAACAGCTTCACACAAGGGATTACTAATTCAACACATTCATGCCATAACACATACTCAAAAACCTTCAAACTCGCCAAAACAAACACTGTTCATAACAACACGCCAAACTCATCAAAAGAACACTAAAACAAAAGCTTCACACAAGGGATTACTAATTCAACACATTCATGTCACCACACATGCTCAAAAGCCTTCAAACTTGCAAAAACGAACAATGTTCATAACAACAAGCCAAACTCATCAAAAGAACACTAAAACAACAGCTTAACACATTCATGCTGATACACATGCTCAAATACCTTAAATCTCGCTAAAACGAACAATGTTCATAAAAACAAGCCAAACTCATCAAAAGAACACTAAAACAACAGCTTAACGCATTCATGCCATTACACATGCTCAAAAACGTTCAAACTGGCCAAAACAAACACTTTTCATAACAACAAGCCAAACTCATCAAAAGAACACTAAAACAACAGCTTAACGCATTCATGCCATTACACATGCTCAAAAACCTTCAAACTGGCCAAAACGAACAATGTTCATAACAACAAGCCAAACTCATCAAAAGAACACTAAAACAACAGCTTAACGCATTCATGCCATTACACATGCTAAGAAACCTTCAAACTGGCCAAAACGAACAATGTTCATAACAACAAGCCAAACTCATCAAAAGAACACTAAAACAACAGCTTAACGCATTCATGCCATTACACATGCTCAAAAACGTTCAAACTCGCCAAAACAAACACTTTGCATAACAACAAGCCAAACTCATCAAAAGAACACTAAAACAACGGCTTTACACAAGGGATTACTAATTCAACACATTCATTCCATTACACATGCTAAAAAACCTTAAAACTGGCCAAAACGAACAATGTTCATAACAACAAGCCAAACTCATCAAAAGAACACTAAAAAAACAGCTTAACGCATTCATGCCATTACACATGCTCAAAAACGTTCAAACTCGCCAAAACAAACATTTTTCATAACAACAAGCCAAACTCATCAAAAGAATACTAAAACAACAGCTTAACACATTCATGCCATTACACATGCTCAAAAACGTTCAAACTCGCTAAAACAAAAACTTTTCATAACAACAAGCCAAACTCATCAGAAGAACACTAAAACAACAGCTTAACGCATTCATGCCATTACACATGCTCAAAAACCTTCAAACTGGCCAAAACGAAAAATGTTCATAACAACAAGCCAAACTCATCAAACAAACACTAAAACAACAGCTTAACGCATTCATGCCATTACACATGCTCAAAAACGTTCAAACTCGCCAAAACAAACACTTTTCATAACAACAAGCCAAACTCATCAAAAGAAAACTAAAACAACGGCTTAACACAAGGGATTACTAATTCAACACATTCATGCAATTACACATGCTAAAAAACCTTCAAACTGGCCAAAACGAACAATGTTCATAACAACAAGCCAAACTCATCAAAAGAACACTAAAACAACAGCTTAACGCATTCATGCCATTACACATGCTCAAAAACGTTCAAACTCGCCAAAACAAACACTTTTCATAACAACAAGCCAAACTCATCAAAAGAACACTAAAACAACAGCTTAACGCATTCATGCCATTACACATGCTCAAAAACCTTCAAACTCGCCAAAACAAACACTTTTCATAACAACCAGCCAAACTCATCAAAAGAACACTAAAACAACAGCTTAACGCATTCATGCCATTACACATGCTCAAAAACGTTCAAACTCGCCAAAACAAACACTTTTCATAACAACAAGCCAAACTCATCAAAAGAACACTAAAACAACAGCTTAACGCATTCATGCCATTACACATGCTCAAAAACCTTCAAACTGGCCAAAACGAAAAATGTTCATAACAACAAGCCAAACTCATCAAAAGAACACTAAAACAACAGCTTAACGCATTCATGCCATTACACATGCTCAAAAACCTTCAAACTGGCCAAAACGAACAATGTTCATAACAACAAGCCAAACTCATCAAAAGAACACTAAAACAACAGCTTAACGCATTCATGCCATTACACATGCTCAAAAACCTTCAAACTGGCCAAAACGAACAATGTTCATAACAACAAGCCAAACTCATCAAAAGAACACTAAAACAACAGCTTAACGCATTCATGCCATTACACATGCTAAGAAACCTTCAAACTGGCCAAAACGAACAATGTTCATAACAACAAGCCAAACTCATCAAAAGAACACTAAAACAACAGCTTAACGCATTCATGCCATTACACATGCTCAAAAACGTTCAAACTCGCCAAAACAAACACTTTGCATAACAACAAGCCAATCACATCAAAAGAACACTAAAACAACGGCTTAACACAAGGGATTACTAATTCAACACATTCATGCCATTACACATGCTAAAAAACCTTAAAACTGGCCAAAACGAACAATGTTCATAACATCAAGCCAAACTCATCAAAAGAACACTAAAAAAACAGCTTAACGCATTCATGCCATTACACATGCTCAAAAACGTTCAAACTCGCCAAAACAAACATTTTTCATAACAACAAGCCAAACTCATCAAAAGAATACTAAAACAACAGCTTAACACATTCATGCCATTACACATGCTCAAAAACGTTCAAACTCGCTAAAACAAAAACTTTTCATAACAACAAGCCAAACTCATCAGAAGAACACTAAAACAACAGCTTAACGCATTCATGCCATTACACATGCTCAAAAACCTTCAAACTGGCCAAAACGAACAATGTTCATAACAACAAGCCAAACTCATCAAACAAACACTAAAACAACAGCTTAACGCATTCATGCCATTACACATGCTCAAAAACGTTCAAACTCGCCAAAACAAACACTTTTCATAACAACAAGCCAAACTCATCAAAAGAACACTAAAACAACGGCTCAACACAAGGGATTACTAATTCAACACATTCATGCCATTACACATGCTCAAAAACCTTCAAACTGGCCAAAACGAACAATGTTCATAACAACAAGCCAAACTCATCAAAAGAACACTAAAACAACAGCTTAACGCATTCATGCCATTACACATGCTCAAAAACGTTCAAACTCGCCAAAACAAACACTTTTCATAACAACAAGCCAAACTCATCAAAAGAACACTAAAACAACAGCTTAACGCATTCATGCCATTACACATGCTCAAAAACGTTCAAACTCGCCAAAACAAACATTTTTCATAACAACAAGCCAAACTCATCAAAAGAATACTAAAACAACAGCTTAACGCATTCATGCCATTACACATGCTCAAAAACGTTCAAACTCGCCAAAACAAACATTTTTCATAACAACAAGCCAAACTCATCAAAAGAATACTAAAATAACAGCTTAACGCATTCATGCCATTACACATGCTCAAAAACGTTCAAACTCGCTAAAACAAAAACTTTTCATAACAACAAGCCAAACTCATCAGAAGAACACTAAAACAACGGCTTAACACAAGGGATTACTAATTCAACACATTCATGCCATTACACATGCTAAAAAACCTTCAAACTGGCCAAAACGAACAATGTTCATAACAACAAGCCAAACTCATCAAAAGAACACTAAAACAACAGCTTAACGCATTCATGCCATTACACATGCTCAAAAACGTTCAAACTCGCCAAAACAAACATTTTTCATAACAACAAGCCAAACTCATCAAAAGAATACTAAAACAACAGCTTAACGCATTCATGCCATTACACATGCTCAAAAACGTTCAAACTCGCCAAAACAAACATTTTTCATAACAACAAGCCAAACTCATCAAAAGAATACTAAAACAACAGCTTAACGCATTCATGCCATTACACATGCTCAAAAACGTTCAAACTCGCTAAAACAAAAACTTTTCATAACAACAAGCCAAACTCATCAGAAGAACACTAAAACAACGGCTTAACACAAGGGATTACTAATTCAACACATTCATGCCATTACACATGCTAAAAAACCTTCAAACTGGCCAAAACGAACAATGTTCATAACAACAAGCCAAACTCATCAAAAGAACACTAAAACAACAGCTTAACGCATTCATGCCATTACACATGCTCAAAAACCTTCAAACTCGCCAAAACAAACACTTTTCATAACAACAAGCCAAACTCATCAAAAGAACACTAAAACAACAGCTTAACGCATTCATGCCATTACACATGCTCAAAAACCTTCAAACTGGCCAAAACGAACAATGTTCATAACAACAAGCCAAACTCATCAAAAGAACACTAAAACAACAGCTTAACGCATTCATGCATTACACATGCTCAAAAACGTTCAAACTCGCCAAAACAAACACTTTTCATAACAACAAGCCAAACTCATCAAAAGAACACTAAAACAACAGCTTAACGCATTCATGCCATTACACATGCTCAAAAACGTTCAAACTCGCCAAAACAAACACTTGTCATAACAACAATCCAAACTCATCAAAAGAACACTAAAACAACAGCTTAACGCATTCATGCCATTACACATGCTCAAAAACGTTCAAACTCGCCAAAACAAACACTTTTCATAACAACAAGCCAAACTCATCAAAAGAACACTAAAACAACAGCTTAACGCATTCATGCCATTACACATGCTCAAAAACCTTCAAACTGGCCAAAACGAACAATGTTCATAACAACAAGCCAAACTCATCAAAAGAACACTAAAACAACAGCTTAACGCATTCATGCCATTACACATGCTCAAAAACGTTCAAACTCGCCAAAACAAACACTTTTCATATCAACAAGCCAAACTCATCAAAAGAACACTAAAACAAAAGCTTAACGCATTCATGCCATTACACATGCTCAAAAACGTTCAAACTCGCCAAAACAAACACTTTTCATAACAACTAGCCAAACTCATCAAAAGAACACTAAAACAACAGCTTAACGCATTCATGCCATTACACATGCTCAAAAACGTTCAAACTCGCCAAAACAAACACTTTTCATAACAACAAGCCAAACTCATCAAAAGAACACTAAAACAACGGCTTAACACAAGGGATTACTAATTCAACACATTCATGCCATTACACATGCTAAAAAACCTTCAAACTGGCCAAAACGAACAATGTTCATAACAACAAGCCAAACTCATCAAAAGAACACTAAAACAACAGCTTAACGCATTCATGCCATTACACATGCTCAAAAACGTTCAAACTCGCCAAAACAAACACTTGTCATAACAACAATCCAAACTCATCAAAAGAACACTAAAACAACAGCTTAACGCATTCATGCCATTACACATGCTCAAAAACGTTCAAACTCGCCAAAACAAACACTTTTCATAACAACAAGCCAAACTCATCAAAAGAACACTAAAACAACAGCTTAACGCATTCATGCCATTACACATGCTCAAAAACCTTCAAACTGGCCAAAACGAACAATGTTCATAACAACAAGCCAAACTCATCAAAAGAACACTAAAACAACAGCTTAACGCATTCATGCCATTACACATGCTCAAAAACGTTCAAACTCGCCAAAACAAACACTTTTCATATCAACAAGCCAAACTCATCAAAAGAACACTAAAACAAAAGCTTAACGCATTCATGCCATTACACATGCTCAAAAACGTTCAAACTCGCCAAAACAAACACTTTTCATAACAACTAGCCAAACTCATCAAAAGAACACTAAAACAACAGCTTAACGCATTCATGCCATTACACATGCTCAAAAACGTTCAAACTCGCCAAAACAAACACTTTTCATAACAACAAGCCAAACTCATCAAAAGAACACTAAAACAACGGCTTAACACAAGGGATTACTAATTCAACACATTCATGCCATTACACATGCTAAAAAACCTTCAAACTGGCCAAAACGAACAATGTTCATAACAACAAGCCAAACTCATCAAAAGAACACTAAAACAACAGCTTAACGCATTCATGCCATTACACATGCTCAAAAACGTTCAAACTCGCCAAAACAAACACTTTTCATAACAACAAGCCAAACTCATCAAAAGAACACTAAAACAACAGCTTCACACATTCATGCCATTACACATGCTAAAAAACCTTCAAACTCGCCAAAACAAACAATGCTCATAACAACAAGCCAAACTCATCAAAAGAACACTAAAACAACAGCTTCACACTTTTATGCCATTACACATGCTCAAAAAACCTTCAAACTGGCCAAAACGAAAAATGTTCATAACAACAAGCCAAACTCATCAAACGAACACTAAAACAACAGCTTAACGCATTCATGCCATTACACATGCTCAAAAACGTTCAAACTCGCTTAAACAAACACTTTTCATAACAACAAGCCAAACTCATCAAAAGAACACTAAAACAACAGCTTAACGCATTCATGCCATTACACATGGTCAAAAACCTTCAAACTGGCCAAAACGAACAATGTTCATAACAACAAGCCAAACTCATCAAAAGAACACTAAAACAACAGCTTAACGCATTCATGCCATTACACATGCTCAAAAACCTTCAAACAGGCCAAAACGAACAATGTTCATAACAACAAGCCAAACTCATCAAAAGAACACTAAAACAACAGCTTAACGCATTCATGCCATTACACATGCTCAAAAACGTTCAAACTCGCCAAAACAAACACTTTTCATAACAACAAGCCAAACTCATCAAAAGAACACTAAAACAACGGCTTAACACAAGGGATTACTAATTCAACACATTCATGCCATTACACATGCTAAAAAACCTTCAAACTGGCCAAAACGAACAATGTTCATAACAACAAGCCAAACTCATCAAAAGAACACTAAAACAACAGCTTAACGCATTCATGCCATTACACATGCTCAAAAACGTTCAAACTCGCCAAAACGAACAATGTTCATAACAACAAGCCAAACTCATCAAAAGAACACTAAAACAACAGCTTAACGCATTCATGCCATTACACATGCTCAAAAACGTTCAAACTCGCCAAAACGAACACTTTTCATAACAACAAGCCAAACTCATCAAAAGAACACTAAAACAACAGCTTAACGCATTCCTGCCATTACACATGCTCTAAAACCTTCAAACTGGCCAAAACGAAAAATGTTCATAACAACAAGCCAAACTCATCAAACGAACACTAAAACAACAGCTTAACGCATTCATGCCATTACACATGCTCAAAAACGTTCAAACTCGCTTAAACAAACACTTTTCATAACAACAAGCCAAACTCATCAAAAGAACACTAAAACAACAGCTTAACGCATTCATGCCATTACACATGCTCAAAAACCTTCAAACTGGCCAAAACGAACAATGTTCATAACAACAAGCCAAACTCATCAAAAGAACACTAAAACAACAGCTTAACGCATTCATGCCATTACACATGCTAAAAAACCTTCAAACTGGCCAAAACGAACAATGTTCATAACAACAAGCCAAACTCATCAAAAGAACACTAAAACAACAGCTTAACGCATTCATGCCATTACACATGCTCAAAAACGTTCAAACTCGCCAAAACAAACACTTTTCATAACAACAAGCCAAACTCATCAAAAGAATACTAAAACAACAGCTTAACGCATTCATGCCATTACACATGCTCAAAAACGTTCAAACTCGCCAAAACAAACACTTTTCATAACAACAAGCCAAACTCATCAAAAGAACACTAAAACAACGGCTTAACACAAGGGATTACTAATTCAACACATTCATGCCATTACACATGCTAAAAAACCTTCAAACTGGCCAAAACGAACAATGTTCATAACAACAAGCCAAACTCATCAAAAGAACACTAAAACAACAGCTTAACGCATTCATGCCATTACACATGCTCAAAAACGTTCAAACTCGCCAAAACAAACACTTTTCATAACAACAAGCCAAACTCATCAAAAGAACACTAAAACAACAGCTTAACGCATTCATGCCATTACACATGCTCAAAAACCTTCAAACTGGCCAAAACGAACAATGTTCATAACAACAAGCCAAACTCATCAAAAGAACACTAAAACAACAGCTTAACGCATTCATGCCATTACACATGCTCAAAAACCTTCAAACTCGCCAAAACAAACACTTTTCATAACAACAAGCCAAACTCATCAAAAGAACACTAAAACAACAGCTTAACGCATTCATGCCATTACACATGCTCAAAAACCTTCAAACTGGCCAAAACGAACAATGTTCATAACAACAAGCCAAACTCATTAAAAGAACACTAAAACAACAGCTTAACGCATTCATGCCATTACACATGCTCAAAAACGTTCAAACTCGCCAAAACAAACACTTTTCATAACACCAAGCCAAACTCATCAAAAGAACACTAAAACAACAGCTTAACGCATTCATGCCATTACACATGCTCAAAAACGTTCAAACTCGCCAAAACAAACACTGTTCATAACAACAAGCCAAACTCATCAAAAGAACACTAAAACAACAGCTTAACGCATTCATGCCATTACACATGCTCAAAAACGTTCAAACTCGCCAAAACAAACACTTTTCATAACAACAAGCCAAACTCATCAAAAGAACACTAAAACAACAGCTTAACGCATTCATGCCATTACACATGCTCAAAAACCTTCAAACTGGCCAAAACGAACAATGTTCATAACAACAAGCCAAACTCATCAAAAGAACACTAAAACAACAGCTTAACGCATTCATGCCATTACACATGCTCAAAAACGTTCAAACTCGCCAAAACAAACAATGTTCATAACAACAAGCCAAACTCATCAAAAGAACACTAAAACAACAGCTTAACGCATTCATGCCATTACACATGCTCAAAAACGTTCAAACTCGCCAAAACAAACACTTTTCATAACAACAAGCCAAACTCATCAAAAGAACACTAAAACAACAGCTTAACGCATTCATGCCATTACACATGCTCAAAAACGTTCAAACTCGCCAAAACAAACACTTTTCATAACAACAAGCCAAACTCATCAAAAGAACACTAAAACAACAGCTTAACGCATTCATGCCATTACACATGCTCAAAAACCTTCAAACTGGCCAAAACGAACAATGTTCATAACAACAAGCCAAACTCATCAAAAGAACACTAAAACAACAGCTTAACGCATTCATGCCATTACACATGCTCAAAAACCTTCAAACAGGCCAAAACGAACAATGTTCATAACAACAAGCCAAACTCATCAAAAGAACACTAAAACAACAGCTTAACGCATTCATGCCATTACACATGCTCAAAAACGTTCAAACTCGCCAAAACAAACACTTTTCATAACAACAAGCCAAACTCATCAAAAGAACACTAAAACAACAGCTTAACGCATTCATGCCATTACACATGCTCAAAAACGTTCAAACTCGCCAAAACAAACACTTTTCATAACAACAAGCCAAACTCATCAAAAGAACACTAAAACAACAGCTTAACGCATTCATGCCATTACACATGCTCAAAAACTTCAAACTCGCCAAAACGAACACTTTTCATAACAACAAGCCAAACTCATCAAAAGAACACTAAAACAACAGCTTAACGCATTCATGCCATTACACATGCTCAAAAACGTTCAAACTCGCCAAAACAAACACTTTTCATAACAACAAGCCAAACTCATCAAAAGAACACTAAAACAACAGCTTAACGCATTCATGCCATTACACATGCTCAAAAACGTTCAAACTCGCCAAAACAAACACTTTTCATAACAACAAGCCAAACTCATCAAAAGAACACTAAAACAACAGCTTAACGCATTCCTGCCATTACACATGCTCTAAAACCTTCAAACTGGCCAAAACGAAAAATGTTCATAACAACAAGCCAAACTCATCAAAAGAACACTAAAACAACAGCTTAACGCATTCATGCCATTACACATGCTCAAAAACGTTCAAACTCGCCAAAACAAACACTTTTCATAACAACAAGCCAAACTCATCAAAAGAACACTAAAACAACAGCTTAACGCATTCATGCCATTACACATGCTCAAAAACCTTCAAACTCGCCAAAACTAACAATGTTCATAACAACAAGCCAAACTCATCAAAAGAACACTAAAACAACAGCTTAACGCATTCATGCCATTACACATGCTCAAAAACCTTCAAACTGGCCAAAACGAACAATGTTCATAACAACAAGCCAAACTCATCAAAAGAACACTAAAACAACAGCTTAACGCATTCATGCCATTACACATGCTCAAAAACGTTCAAACTCGCCAAAACAAACACTTTTCATAACAACAAGCCAAACTCATCAAAAGAACACTAAAACAACAGCTTAACGCATTCATGCCATTACACATGCTCAAAAACGTTCAAACTCGCCAAAACAAACACTTTTCATAACAACAAGCCAAACTCATCAAAAGAACACTAAAACAACAGCTTAACGCATTCATGCCATTACACATGCTCAAAAACCTTCAAACAGGCCAAAACGAACAATGTTCATAACAACAAGCCAAACTCATCAAAAGAACACTAAAACAACAGCTTAACGCATTCATGCCATTACACATGCTCAAAAACGTTCAAACTCGCCAAAACAAACACTTTTCATAACAACAAGCCAAACTCATCAAAAGAACACTAAAACAACAGCTTAACGCATTCATGCCATTACACATGCTCAAAAACGTTCAAACTCGCCAAAACAAACAACTTTTCATAACAACAAGCCAAACTCATCAAAAGAACACTAAAACAACAGCTTAACGCATTCATGCCATTACACATGCTCAAAAACGTTCAAACTCGCCAAAACGAACAATGTTCATAACAACAAGCCAAACTCATCAAAAGAACACTAAAACAACAGCTTAACGCATTCATGCCATTACACATGCTCAAAAACGTTCAAACTCGCCAAAACAAACACTTTTCATAACAACAAGCCAAACTCATCAAAAGAACACTAAAACAAAACAACAGCTTAACGCATTCATGCCATTACACATGCTCAAAACGTTCAAACTCGCCAAAACAAACACTTTTCATAACAACAAGCCAAACTCATCAAAAGAACACTAAAACAACAGCTTAACGCATTCATGCCATTACACATGCTCAAAAACGTTCAAACTCGCCAAAACGAACAATGTTCATAACAACAAGCCAAACTCATCAAAAGAACACTAAAACAACAGCTTAACGCATTCATGCCATTACACATGCTCAAAAACGTTCAAACTCGCCAAAACAAACACTTTTCATAACAACAAGCCAAACTCATCAAAAGAACACTAAAACAACAGCTTAACGCATTCATGCCATTACACATGCTCAAAAACCTTCAAACTGGCCAAAACGAACAATGTTCATAACAACAAGCCAAACTCATCAAAAGAACACTAAAACAACAGCTTAACGCATTCATGCCATTACACATGCTCAAAAACCT